TCACAGAAAAAACCTGGTGATCCCGTACGTGTACTAAACAGGGCGTTGAAAAGAAAACTAGAAAAACTTGATTTTCTTTCTTTTTTTTCCGATTATTCATGTCATGAGTGGACTCAGTGTGCTAAAAAAAATGAATATGGAACAGGTGATCACAGCTTTGTTACAGTGACAAAATGAAGGCCCAGTCAATCACAGAAATGACCCCCTTTCAACAAACCTATATTTGTATATTTACCCGCTTTCAACAGATGTCTTTCTCATTTTCCATTTTTTACCCTTGCAATGTTCAGCATTACGGCAGCAGAACTAAAAATCTGCATTCCAGGCTATGCTGAACACATTTTCTTTGAGCAAGGGAGGCTCTATTGGTGAAAAGCCCCCTAATTTATCCAACGCTGCTTTAATTATTTATTTCTGTTGCAAAAAATTACATGTATCCATTAATGCCAAACCTGACAGGGAGACAGGGAAGAAGGAAGAGTAAAGATAAACAAACAAACCCGATCAGATATCTTTGTAAAGTAGAAATGGAGGAATGTGTCAAAGAACAAAGAAGAATGAAAAACATAGTTACTAAAAAACTCTAAAGTTGTAATCAAAAGCACATTACATGCAAAATACCTAAACCAATACATAGCGCTTTACTCTATTTTTGCCTCCGTGTCATCAGAGGATGTGTTCTAAGTTTGTCAGTAGGAAACAATGATGGTGGACAATGAGGTGGCAACACGTGGCTGGTCTGATGTTCTTTATTGGGCAGAGTCACATGATGGGAAATTTGATTCATATGTAGAAAAATGTGTAACAGGTCACAGTGTTGCTTTTGAGTGAACTTGATACATATAAGGATATGCAAGTGTGAGGGGAAGTGTGGAGTGACAGGTCTGAGGAAAATATTCTGAGGCAGAATATTGGAAAGAGTAAATGCATATGTGAGCAGATGAGGAACTGACGTTGGGATAAATGCCATAACTGTATTATTTTTTTCCAAACTTAAGCATTAAATCTTACAATTACATCATCTCTCTTTAAATAACAACAAAAAGACAATATAAACTCCAGGTTTTCCTGATACAAAAATCTACAAAATCGAATCCATATCTGGGAAAAAACTTGAAAACAGATGCTAATGGTCTTTGCACTCAGAGACCAGGTAGGATGGAATATCAATAAAAGCAGCAATTAGCCTCCCTGTGTTGCTAAGAGAGCGACTTGACCTCCATTTCTTGATTTTTCTCTAAAGCGATAAGAAGCTGTTTTCATCGTGAATAGTGAGGGGCTAACATGACGCAGAAGAGTGATCGATGGCACTTTTGCTGTTGGCCTTGAGTCGGGAATTTTGTGATCAGTTTCACTGAAGAAAATACGGCTCTTGTCAGGATTTAAGACCCTGTCGTGTCAAAAGCTCCCTATAGATAAAACGTAAGTCCGAACATTTATTTAACTTCTAGGTTAGAAGTCAGTCCGTTGTCTAAGAGGGACCATCCGTCAAAAGAATAGTCTAATAATCTTGAATAATCTCCAAATTTCCAAATCAGATAGTCAATTTTCTTTGAGAAGAATAAAACATTTCTATGGAATATGTAAGTAATGGATTAAGGAATTTAAGACTAGTTTGATTATTGTAACACTACATTGTCTGAATAGGCATAAAACTCTTTCCTTAAAGTAAAAGTTGAAACTCCCACATAATTTTCGCAGTGCTATTTCAAGGGGCTGTCAAAGGCCTGTGGTGGATTTTTCCAGTTTTTATTAGTTTGGCTTGGCTTGGATTTTTGGGGTCTTTTTTTCCCCCTTTTTTGCCAGAGGAAACTCTATTATTAAAAACAGGCCTGAAACAATGCTCCATTCCAAGAGTTTTCCATTTATTCATTCAAGTTTGAGTAATACACTCTGAAGCATTGATTAGCCTGGAAAGCACGATAGACAAAGAAAAGTAGATGATGTTCAAAAGAGAAAAGCAAAGAACACATTAAGTATTAAAGGAAAATACTACATCACTGTTTATCGTGCGTAAGTGGTTTCTATAATGATACATGCATCATAATACATGCACTGTGAATAATGGGAGCAGGAACAAATAATTATCCACTAAAGAACAGTTTATTCCTCCACGTTTTCTTCCATAGCTACACTTATGGAGGTGCAATAACTCCAAACTAATTCCTGAAACAGCACTTAGGATTTACTTTATGCTAAAGTCTAGTTTCCACCTCTTCAGAGAAAATTGCTCTTAACTGCGCTTTCAAAGGATTATTGAAAAATTTTAGGTCAGCTCCGGATGATCTCATACCGCAAAACTCATTAGACGATAAATGACACATAGATACAGCCAACTGGTAGCGCATAGTAGCTGAAATGAACCCCAACATTGAAAGACCAAGCAAATTCTATAGGGGATGGGAAAAACAGCCCTTCCGTTCTTTTGTGTAGAGATTTATCACATCATTAAGAACTGTGCACATCATGAGCAGATTATTCTGTTAGATTAGGACCATAGGAACAAGAACGTGTGGCTTTCTGGTTCTGTTTTATCACAGCTTGTCATCCTCGATATGCTCCAGTCTCATATCAACACATAAAAAAATATGTCTTGACGGGTTCTGTTCACCCACATGGGGCCACGCCTGATCATACCACTGAGTAATCCTCCATTTGTGGGCTCAAATTATAGATGAATCAGGAGCATCTGGCCAAAAGAATGTTTTGTTGACATGGGTAATCTGGCTGTTTTGGCGGCTCCCAGCAACTTAAACAGCAAAGGGCGACTGAAAACCGAAAGTTCAGTCGATCTGAGCTTTTGTTTGCTGAGCCTCTTTGCTTATCACACTCTGAGAGAAAATGAGAAAAGGGAGATGCTGCAGAGAGAAGGCCTTTGCCTTTTTCCGCGAGTGTCAGGCGTGTTAATGATTTCCCCCACACCTCTTTAATGGCTGAGTGTTTGAACAGGAGTCATTTGTAGCGGTCAGAGAGCGTAGGATTGGAAGTGATGATAGACGGTGGTAGAATGAAAGGAAGAGGCTGGTTTACAAAAGGGCATTGATGCTCCTCTGACTCACTGGCTGAGAGACTGAAGGTCTGAAGGTAGTAAACAGATCTGCTTGTATAGGTGCAGAAAGGGGGCTTCGGTATCCATGGAAACGATTCAGGGCCGTATTAGCAGCACAGAGTACCATGGCACTAGCTTCAATTATGATTTAAACGATTTTGTGGACGTCCACCACTATGTAGGCTGTGCGCCACATTATTGCAATAGCATCAAGACACCAGACATTGTGGGATTAGGAGATGGCTTCCCCCCATTAATCCATAGCACATAAACAAACCCACGCTGATTATTTTTCTTTCCTGTCAGTTTCTGTCCTCTTTTCCGTAGTCTAGGAGCTCCCTTCTTTATCATCCTTCAGTTGAAGTTTCTCTCTATCCTTTTGTGTCTCCATCTCTTCACTTTTTACTTTTTCCCTCTTTCATCCTCCACCCCTCTACTTTAGCTGAAAATGAAGGACAAAGGCATCTCGTCTTAAATGCAAAATCAAAGCAAAGCTTACCGATGACTAGTGAATTGAAAAAAAAAAGCCATTCGCTTTTTGGCTCGCCAATTTATCTTCTTGTAACCAACAGTAGATTCTTTGAAATGATCACGGATGGACTCACGCTTATAAAACAAAGTACCACAGATGAGTAGCAGACTTTGGATTCGTGTCAGATTTGTGCCTCGCTTCATGTGCTGATATGAAACTGCTTAAAACATGAAATCCTAAGACCGGAATCTGCACGGCAACAGCCACACATTGAAGATGACGTCAATGTCACCCCTTTTTCAGTGTGTTCAATCTGTTCCATTTGTGATTTGAACCTCCATACAAAGCTTACAAGGTAAAAAAATCAATTTGGAACTTGACAGCTGCCCAGACGATTCGCACAACCCATATTGAGGGAATGTGCTGCACAGGGTTCGCAAGGTGTTATTAAATTCTTGTCTGATTGCTAAAGACCAGATCTGAAGTCTAGATTAACTGGCTTTCTTCACATAAGGCGGATAAAAGTCAGGATGTGCAAAGTGGCCTTTTTTTATGGAGGCTCAAAGGATACAACTGGGATGAAACTTCCAGGAGGCTAAGAAAGTTTCCATTGTGTGGTGATCCAAGCAATTAGTCATCCCCGCCACCACACAGGTCTCTTTCACTTAAAACAGAAAGTCATAACCCGCCTGGGTGCCTCAGCACTGTCAGCACTGCGGGCCCTAAGCTGCAGGTATCTTAGGATTCCCAGTGTGTAAGTATTTCCAACACGCCACCACATTACTCTGTTCTTTCTTGGTGCTTCTAGTCAGAAAAATAATACTAATGAACTGGCATCTTCTTTCTTGCAAACAACATTCAAGCAAAGAAGGAAAAAGTATCACTTGTGGACGGTGAATCAAGCGTTTAGAAACTTGACACGTGGGGCCTATGTAGCTGAATACTGTTACCACATTTCCCAGTATCTCTCAAATGTTTTCAATAGACCTCGAAAAGACCATTTCAGCGGTATAAAGAGTATCTAACTAAACAAGCACAAGGTCATTTTTGTCTTCTGATAGACCAAAACAACTGTACTGTGTATCTATGTGGCTGACCTTCCCTTACGCCTTTGTTTCTTCTCGACACAAAGAGAAAACAAAGCATTTCTTTTCAGAATGAATAAAGTTATCAACTCTGACCGCCGACCTAGAGAACAGAGGTGTCATGTTATTAACATGTGATGAGCTCACACACACACGCACTCTGATTTCACGTTTCGCCCTCACTGCAACCTCAGAGAAACGGTGTCACCCAGCCACCTGCCTGTGAAGTGGAATTAGCGAGGCCGCGGATAAGCCAGAAAAACTGAATCAGCACAAATGAGCAAGCCTTCCGCATCGCAACGCATTTTTCCCCCCTTCTCTGAGTAACAAATTCCACCTTCACAGCAAATACTTCTGTCCACCGGGAAGCAAAAAGAAGTCACCCTCCATTTCAGGACCTTCGTTTTTATTAAATGCGTTTTTCTTTTCACATACAGTACTTTGGATGGAAAACTAAAAAAAATAATTAAATAAAATGTATAAAATACAAAGAGGTACAACATGTTGCAGAGAAAGTAAACATTTTAAATAAATAAATAATAAATAAACATCGGGAAAAGCGTCTCTCTCCGCTGTGCTGCGTCCCAGCAGCCTGTGCCTGAGGCTTTCCTCTCGCCATTCATATGAATGGTCGTTGCGGCTCATATTTCTCTTTTCGGACGCGGCCATTGCCGTCAGATCAGTCTGTGAGCTTTGCCCCGTCGCCTCGTGTGCACTTCAAACTTCCAGCTTGGACCCAGATCAACTTGGGACCTTTCGATAAGTCTTCGGCCTAAAATCATTCCACAACTGATCATGCCTGAGGTATTCGTTTCACCTGAACCTTTCCAGTCTCATTTCCTGTGCGTCAGTAATCTTTCATCCCTTAGAGGAGAAAGCGAACCAGTGTTTTAATACTTAAAAAAAAAAGAAAAATCTTTTAGCCAGTCTTGGTTTTTCTTGTCATCTCTAGGTACGTTGAGGATTTGAGAAAGCGAGGGTAGCAGTCTTTCTCCATCAGGGTGTAGATTTTGGCTTGGGCCATGTCGAAACAGGAGTGGGTGGGCACCCCCATGTTCTCCTTTGTGACCGCTTTGGTCAGATGGTCAAGATTGACCTGCACAAAACAGATTATTTTTAGACTTCAACGCCAAGACAGGAATATTCTGTGGCGCTGCAGAGCGGCTTTGATGTGCCTCTACATACCTCTCGGGGTGCGTCAGAGCAGATGAACTCCTCGTAGATTTTCTTTGCTTTGGGGGCCAGCTTTGAAGTTTTGGTGGCCCTGTAGTCCTCGCACGCCAAGTAGAAGGCGATGTTCTCTTCACTGAACTCTGACACCAGAAACGCTCTGAACAAGCACAGTCCATCTGAAAAAGGCGGAGGGGACGAGCAGTTAGCATCAGCTGGGATTCTTAAAGCTTCAGCACAGAAAAAAAGTCCTTCCCGTTAGACCCCACGAGGGACGTGTTACTTACTTTGGTCGGACAGCAGCTTGTCAAACGACTCTTTCCATTTTAGAGGCTCGCCAATGTCATTTAATCTGCATCAACAGAGAGAAAATAAACATGAGTCCTCATAAAAAAGCCGCTCGGTAGCTGAAATGCAATGCTTAAAAAGACGCTGCCTGAATCTCTTACCTCAGTTTGTCACTTTTCTTTGACTGCCCACTGATGCTGTGGTCCGGCCTCTGCAGTAAACTCCCAAACAGAGCTTTCAGTTCCTTTGCCCTGTGAAGAAAAAGTGAGGAATGAGCCTTAAATATAGTTTGAGACTCATTAAAAATATCTAAAGACTGAAGTATTGCAAAAATAAGTAGTGAGATTTGTTTAAAAATGTTAAAAAAGAGTCAGAAATGGTGTCACTGAGCTCACCTCTCCAGGCAGGTGATGGGCAGTGATTCAAGTCCTCTGCACATGATTAGATGGTTTCTCCTTTTTTCTTTTAGATGGCTTCTTAAGGCTCCGTCAAGTGATTGTACGTTCCTACAGGCCTGTCCTCTTTGTTGTAGGTGATGAGCTGCTAGCTGGTCTGGGCTCTCTGTGGGAAAGGGACTTTTTATAGGCGCTCCAGCCTCTGACATCATTTCACTCACCCAATGAAGCGAGACGTGTGGGAGGATGAGGAGACTCCTCGACGCTGAGTTTCCTCCACACTACTTCCTCACGGCTGAATGAATAGTCAGGGAATGGATTACTACACAAGCCGTAAATGTCTTTGTGGTCGCCGGGGGTGTGCCTCCGTGTGTTTGAGTCCTTGAAGAAAAGAACCAGACATTTTCCCAAAGACAGAAATCCCCTGCAGTGTGAAAAGCGTAAGCCGTTTCTTTTAGTAAGGCATTTGTGTTTGGGGTTAGTAGGCCCTCATATCCAAACAGGTAAGAGTGAGTCACTGGATGAGTGGCCTTCCGTTATAACAACAATTAATTTACATACAACACTTTGACAACCTTTACTATTAAAAACTAACAAACGCATCGATCAGGTAGTATATCTGTCAAAACCTCATTTCCACCTGGTTAAATCAGTGCTAGTATTCGTGGATACATCCATTATCTCTAAAGACAAACAATAAATAGCAGGATTATTGTAGTTTTCAGTTTTCAAATTGTTGATACTTCAAAGCACTTTATACCACAACTTTTATAAAAAAAAGACTCTGACTTTACAGAGGGTTATTAAACAGAGTGCAAGGATTTTCCAGTCAAACGGGGGAAATGTTGCGCCACTCTTGTCTGTTTTTAGATTCTGGCTGCTTAACAGTCCAGAATCCTCTCTGGTGTATTTTTCCAAATGTTTTTAGCTGTTGAAGGGTCTGGACAGCAGGCTGGTCACCTTTACTATGAAGTCGTGCATTCGTTGTGGATGCAGTTAGTGCTTTAGTATTGTTGAACTAAACTATGTTAGCTGTACTCTGACAAAAGACTAAACACGAATGGAAAGATTTGTTCCCCTAAAAAACCTGTATACGACTTCTAGGATTCATCATGTCATCTACAAACATGGATTGTTGTGATATATAGGACACATTTTGTCATTCTTGTATTTTGGATCTTTGTTTGACCACAGTCCACTGTTCATAGTCAAACAATGTTATTCCTAGTTAATTAATAAATGACTTTACCCCATAAGGAACACCACTGTCTCTATCATATCATGACTATTTAAGGCAAATTTCACGGAAGCTGTTTTCTTCCTACTTTTTATGCTGGCAAAAAGTAGAAAAAAAAGTCTGATTTCCTCAAAAATACATGTAGCATTTAATTTAAATTTAAGACAAATGTAAGTTAAGTTAAGTTAAGGCAAATACAATCAGTGCTACAGAAAAGATTAAACACCTTTTTATACAAGCTAGTTCTGAAGAAAAAAAAAAGGAAACATTTCATGCAGGAGACAACATCAAAAAAGGGGAAAATAATTTAAATTAGGTGAATCTTCTCATCAGATTTTTCCACTGTAACAAAAATATCTCACGGCCAAACAGCTCTCATTATCTTTTTATGTTATTTGGCTCGCACAGACTCATTCTGGGGTGTCTGTCTGTATTACTTCTTAACCAGGCATGACTATGTAATCAAAGCTGTGTCTATATATAGCCACTTGGTCGTGAAAACTATTGTTAGAAGAATGTGAGGTGTTTTATTTAGAATGGCCAGTGAGGCCAAGTAACTGTAAATTCATCTAATCATGAGATAGGAAGAGGATAATCAGTGAGCCAGACAAAAAGGCCCAAAAAAGCCGCCGATAGCTTCCTAGCCAGCTTCCTCTGTTGTTGGCCAAAAACAATGGTTTCCCTCTTACTGGTAGTCTGGTCTGACTCATTGGCCCAGATGCCAGTGGAAGGTCGCGTCTGCCTCAGACAATGGGAATCTTTTCAGCTTCTTCTGGAGAGATAGCATTTACAAACCTTACTTGAGAAAATTTTAGAAATCTGGCACCAAACAATGTTATGACGTGGTAGTTTCTAAAACAGAAGACTGAGGAATATATTTTTTCTCCCTCTTTCCATTTAACTGATCCTTTGGGGACTACATGGCCTGAGGTCGTTGTTGGGGTTCCAGTCAACAAAGCGATTTTCTCATCAGACGGGTCTTAGTTGGAATGCTGTAGTAAAATCATCCTTTAATCCATACACAACACTATATAGTGCGTCTACATAGGAGTAAAGTTTATAGCCTTAAGATTAGATATTTGACTCTTGTGTCAATGTTTATCAGGTCACTGTGGCTCTGATGTGTTCCGGTCTTAAGCCCCTTCTCTTTGAAAATGCTTCATATAATGTAACCATGTCCTCAGAGGCTATGCTTAATGTGAAATTCATAAAAGTAAACATCGATCATACATTCTGCCAAAACGTCTTACTATCCTACGCATTACAGACGCAACGTTTCAATATAAAAGATCTTAGAAAATTGTCTCCATGATGCAACTTTTGATCAGATTGTGCATAAGAAAATGCTTACATTGGTTTGGAACATTTCAAATAAAAACCTTTTGGATCAGTGGTGGCTTTCTGATTTGTTCCTTCATGGAAGAAGACACGTTTGATTGATTCTACTCAAAGACTAGAGCTAAAGCCTTAGTGAGCTATATCACCAGAAAGTAGGCGTCTTTTCCTACCAGTTCCTGTGGTGTGCTTCCAGACATTTTAAATCAATGATCGCTACACTAGTTCTTTGTGCATCTGTGTCACGATCAGTGCATTTATAGCAAATCTAGGTTATCCAACTTCGACAAGCGAAACCCTTCAGCAAAATAATCCTCGGAAAAGTAAAGGTGCAGCGATATAAAAAGAGCCCACAGTGTTCACATGGCGAGCACACCATTTAAATCTCATCTTAAATGTAGGTCACTTTCAGAGGATGAACCTGACATTGTGTTATGACACCGTTTAGTCAGTCAACAAGTTTGACCCAGATGTATCCTTTTTCTGCTGAATGAAAATTAATTAGGTACATTTCACTAAGTCAGGACATGGATAAATAAGTCACAGCATGACACAGTTTAATCTAGAGGCAGAGGGTCCACGCAACATTCTAGGAATATTTCACCGGTACTTCGGTGCAAATGATTTATATCAGTGTCACAGTGACACCGAATTGGAACTTTTTGTCTTTCTTTTTTTTTTCTTAGAAAATGAACACAACAAAAAAAAGCTTGGCTAATGATTTTCTGTAGAATTGATATCACAGACGAGGTTCGCATCCTATAACCTAACATAATAACATCACAAGGAACCCGTATTCAGTTTTCAAGCTTTTTTTTCATACAAAGCAATATCGAGCTCATTGTGTGGCATAAAGTTAAAAGAATAGCATCCAGTGACACCATATATTGTGCTTATCTGATTGACTCTGAAACTGCACATGCACAATTTTGCAGCCCAGTCTCACCACGAATGGCGTCACTGGTACATTTTGCCAATTCTTATCTACAGTTGGAACACGCAAGAGGAATATCTCCCTGGGCCGATGTTTTCGGTTACAGCAGAATTCACATGTCATGGCTAAAGCTATGAAGAAAAAATTTGTTTAACCACCAACCATGTGGATGTAGTCACTCTTGCCGAATATGTTGTGACTGCAACTTTTATTGTGGACTTTGATCTTGTTACCCCTAACCTAAGGCTGAGAGAGACAGATAAAAGAGAGGAACAGCAAGTAGGAGTGGTAGAAGAAAAAGTGTAATGACGTGGTCTTGGCCAAGCAAGGATCTATGGCACCTCAAACACGCCCTGCATTCCTCCTTTTTTAATCCTAACGCGTGTCTGGAGGTGAATGCTATTCTCAAGTCTGCTGTCTGCCAAGGAAAGCCTGAGGGGGGAAACACAAAGAGACAAAACAATCTTGTTCAAAAGGCCAACTCAATTCCGGGGGAGGAGTGTGTGACCCAACTTGTTCTGGCGGAACATCAAGGACAACCTCTCCCACCTTATTGCCCAGTTAATTAAGTCTCTTCCCTTTTGTGGAACAGGTGGACCCTGACTCTTGTGGCCAGTCACGGCTCAGAAACAGTCGGTGCCCGGTAAGTTCACATGGGGTTCAAAACAAAAACGATGTTGTTCCATTGTGAAGACCCGATTCGTAATGGCCGCCTCTGCTCAGCAATTTCTCTTCTATTGAGTTGGAGAGAAGGTTCAATCTGCAATGCAATCACGGGGTTGTCTTTAAGCTGGCTAAGTTTTTTGGATAGGTTCTGATTTGAACATTTTTGATTGGATGATGATAAAATACAATGAGCAGAATCACACTGAATTTGTGTAAAACATCTTGAGATAAATTAGCTGTGAAAAGTGCTACATAATTAGCACTGAATTGAACTAAAATAAGTAGAAATTTTGAAATTCTGCATAATTAAGAATAGGCTGTGTGGTGTGGATTTCATGGAAAAAAATAAATGTTTTCTTTGAGTAAAAAACATTCACATTGTTATTTGTAAGAGGACACATTTAACATTGAATACTTAAAACTGATGTTGAAATTCACCTCAGACCTAAAAAATTCACGATATTCAGGAAGAGAGTATTGTCCCTTAAATGACAACATTCTCATTTTCCACTTTGCTAACAGATAATTCATAATTATCTTAATCTTAAAATTACAGATATGTGGTAATATGTATCATCAAGGGACTGATTTTACATCCTGCTTCTCTTTAACAGTGATGAATTTTGTTCTCAGTCAGAGCTCAGTTCCTGGAACCACACAGCAACATAAAAATTCCCAGATAGTCTGACCATTTCCCAGCCGATGTGACCCTAGCCTCTTTTTGGAAGACCTCCAAAAAAAAGACTGTTTACTTCCCTTCCACCAGTCCTGCTGACTCCCCCTGCCAAAGCTCAGGCTCGCCAGTTTAGATATTATTTTTTGTGAGCAAAGGGCAGTACAAACCAGGGTCAAAATAACGAAAACGGTTATGTTTTTATGCGATCACTGCAAGGTTTGTGCTGTCAGTGTTCTTCGTTTTGCCATACGCAGACTGCCGACACAGTTTGACTGGCACCATCTGGCTTTGGACAGAGAAACTGAATATGCATATTTATCCAGCTGCCCATCTGACAGAGCAGGTTGCGGCCCTACCCAATGCA